AAAAAAAAAAAAACTCCTTTTGGATGTTTTGCTAAAAGTTTTCAAAGTGTTAATGGTTAGATTGATAATATTGCTTGTCAATATGGGTTTGTAGGAGTTGTATAAGTTTGGGTTCCTCTAACTAGGTTTGAGATTTTGTTTAAAAAATTATAAAGAAAAGAAGGAGTTATGAGGTTGATTTTTTTACAGAAATTATGTTTAACCTATTGATATTAATGCACCCTGGTTTTGTGGAGTTAAGGAAATGTTTAAGTTTGATGTGAATCCATCGAAGTTTTTCCTATGTTCTGTGACCAAGAAAATTCAAATGATTAAGAGTTAAAGTTGTAAGACTGAGAAAATTGTTAACTATATATAGCACCATATATGCTAATTGAAATGGTTCTGTTAAGAATTTGCTTTGTGTTGTAAAATTGGGAGAATTGTGATTATTTATAGTGATATTTATGTTAACATGTTAATGGTAATGATGAAGCTAAGGGATTCTTTAAGTTTGTAGTTTCCTTAAAAGTTCTTGGTTTAGAAAGGGCTTGAGGCAGCTAAGACTGCTTTAGTCACCTTGGACCTAATTCAAAAGAGAAATGCCATCCTTTCATCCTCTACTCCCATACTGGGAGGTGTAACAGCTATGGAGATTGCTGTAAACTATTAATAACGAGGTATTTATACATATTAAGACAGGGTACCTGTGGGAGCCCATTTTTGGGTTCCTCATGGCTTTATGTTGCTAGAGATTTCCTGCCTTGCCCACAGTCAGGACAAATCTCTGTCACCCGCCAGTCCCACAGCCGCTCAGACCCAACCAAGGAAACACAGAGACTTATATTGCTTATAAACTGTATGGCCGTGGCAGGCCTCCTGTTAACTGTTCCTATATCTTAAAGTAACGCATTTCTACAAATCTATACCTTGCCACGTGGCTCATGGCTTACCAGCATCTTCACATGCTGCTTGTCCTGGCAGCGGCTGGCAGCGTCTCCTTCTGCCTTCCTGTTCTTTTATTTCTCCTCTCTGTTAGTCCCGCCTATACTTCCTGCCTAGCCATGACCAATCAGGTTTTATTTATTGACCAATCAGAGCAACTTGACATACAGACCATCCCCCAGTACAGCCAAGTGCAGACCATCTCAGACACCTGCACTCAGGCCCATGGTCCTAATCATCCTCTATGCAAACCTGCTGGGTAACGCCACAAGGAACCCAAGAAGGGCTCCCACAGGACATACATTAACATCCCACAGCAGCTTTATCCAGCAGGTCTGAATGGAGAGGATGATTAGGACCACGGGCCTCAGTGCAGGTGTCTGAAATGGTCTGCACTTGGCTGTGCTGGGGGAGGAGGTCTTTTGCTCCACCCCTTGGCGTCTCTATAAAAACCCTGGGGCAGAGACAGTCGGGGCCCGTTGGAATAGGTTCCAGGCCCTCTTGAGGCTATCCTTTATTTTCTATCTGTTTATCTCTACAAGATTCTCCACAATAAATCCTTCTATCTAATATTTCCTGCTGCTCACACTCAAGAAAACCCTGGGGAGCTGTGGGGTTGGTGGGTAAATGCCCCCCACTTGGTTAATTTTGGGGGTCACTTATATATACTATCATGTCATCTGCAAATAGCGAAAGCTTGACTTCCTCGTTTCTAATTTGTATCCCTTGATCTCTTTTTGTTGTCTTATCACTTTAGCTAGAACTTCAAGTACTATATTGAATAAGTATGGGGAGAGTGGACAGCCTTGCCTTATTCCTGATTTTAGTGGAATCACTTTGAGTTTCTCTCCATTTACTTTGATGTTGGCTGTTGGCTTGCTATAAATTGCCTTTATTATGTTTAGGTATGTTCCTTTTATTCCTGATCTCTCTAGGACCTTTATCATGAAGGGGTATTGGATTTTGTCAAAGACTTTTTCAGCATCTAATGAGATGATCATGTATTATTTTTCCTTCAGTTTGTTTATAGTTGTATTACAGTGACAAATTTTCATATGTTGAACCACCCTTGCATCCCTGGGATGAACATACTTGGTCATGGTTGATAATTTTTTGATGTGTTGTTGGATTTGGTTTACCAATATTTTAATGAGTATTTTTGCATCAATGTTCATGAAGGAGATTGGTCTGTAATTCTCATTCTTTTTTGCATCTTTATGTGGTTTGGGTACCAGGTTAACTGTAGCCTTATAAAAAGAGTTTGGTAATGTTCCTTCTGTTTCTATTGTGTGGAACAATTTGAAGAGTATCAGCATTATCTCTTCTTTGAAAATTTGGTAGATTCTTCACTGAAATAATGTGATCCTGAGCTTTATTTTTTTTTGGTTGGGGGAGTTTTAATGACTATTTCTATTTCCTTAGAGGTTATTGGTCTATTTAAATAGTTTATCTAGTTTGAGTTAACTTTGGTATGTTGAACATATCCAGAAAATTGTCCATTTCTTTCAGATTTTCCAATTTTGTCGAGTAGAGGTTTTTGAAGTATGATCTGATGATTCTCTGGATTTCCTCAGTGTTAGTTGTTATGTCTCCCTTTTCATTTCTGATTTTGCTAATTTGGATGCTCTCTCTGCCTTTTTGGTTAGTTTGGATAAGGGCTTATCTACCTTGTTGATTTTCTCAAAGAACCATGTAGATGTAACCAACCATCTTATTAAATAAGAAACAGAACCAATGCAAAGAAGAAAGCCAAGAGATCAGAGCTAAGA